AAGGAACTATTGTCGGAACCGGACTTCAAAAGGTGGATACGATTAGAGGGAAGACGTTTGGATTCCTAAAGCGAGTAGCATCAAGGAGTTGACGTTATCAAACCAGGAATTTATTTCCTCAATCATCATCGATTTTGAAGGAGTTCAAGAACTAAGGTAATTTTCGAAATTACTTATAATAAATCAAAATTTATTATTATTACATGTTTTTAAAGATGACGATCTGTTTATTCGACATATGTATGTACGAGTTATGTATTTAATTGTTAAATACATGTTTTAAAAAATTTTAAATTCCGCTGCGTATAGCTCGTACGTTACATGCGAACCCAACACCTCGTGCAGTCGCGCTGCTTCCATGGCAGCCCTTGTCGACCGTGGCCTGTCCAACCGTACTTCCGCAGCCAACTCTGCCTTTAAGCCCCCTACAAATGCGCCTACTAGTGCCTTCTCGGGCCAATCCCGAACCCGGCTTGCTATCCTCTTAAACTCCTTTTGATAGTCGCGTAGACTACCAGTTTGGCGGATCCTTGTTAGCGCCTCATCATAATCAAAGTATTCGCTAGATCCAAACCTGGCAATCAGCTCCTTCTCAAAATCGCGCCATCTAATTTGCTCGCCTTTATTTTTATAGACATGTGACACCCATTGCCACCATGTGTTGGCCTCGCCATCCATGTAGTAGGCAGCAATTTGCACTCTTTCAGATTTGTGCACCTCATTGATCTCGAAAAATTGCACGGCACGACTTAACCATGCATCCGGATCTACTCCTTCGAACGTTGGCATCGTGATCTTCGGTTTCGCACTTGCGTGCTCCTCTCGATGTCGCCGATGGCCATGCGTCCTGCGATCGCCGTGGTGTCGGGTAGTGCGTGTTGCGCGCGTTTCCCGCGACCGTTCGTCGTCGTCATCGCGACTAGACGCCGAACTGTCCGTTCCCGCCATGGTTGATCTTGATGTGCGGCTCCTCCGTGAATGGCGGTTGACTCTCTCGAGTTGTCCCGCCAAGTCGTGTATCATCAGCTCCAACTTTGCCATGTTTTCATTGACCACGTGTTGTCCATTGCCAAGGGACCTCACGCTTTCCTCAAGTGCATCGAATCTCTCACGATTCGTCATGCCTCTTTTTTTTTTTTAAGACTAAAAAAAATCGAAAAATAAGTGAAAAATTCGAAAAAGAATTTCAAAAATTTCGACCCAAAAAGAAAAAGAATTCGGCCCCTTCAACAAAGGTAATAACCGAAAAAATCAACAAAAGGACTAACAAGATGACACTTTTTTTTTTAAGACAAAAATTCGAAAATTTTGGGTAAAAATTCGAAGAAATTCGAACCCCCAAATCGACCAAAAGAAAAAGAAAGGGATAGAAAAAGTTCACGAACACCCAATCAATCACTCTCAA